AATTCTAACAGTAACCAATGATAACCACCAGGTAAGCAGGTTTGAATAGTTCAAAGTTCATTTCCATAAATGTAAACAGCAGCTTAAACCAGGGCAGTCCAACAAACTGCCCAAGGGCTGCATGCAGCTTTCGGCAATATTTGGCACATGCCCCACAGCCCTCGTGCTGCCTTCCGAAAGCCAGGTAAGCAAGGCTCTGGGCTTTGGGAAGGAGGTGAGAGGACTCTAGGACACTGTTAGAGCCCTCTCACCTCCTTCCCAAGCCTAATTAGCAGTTTCCCAGCTTTGGGAATAAGCTGGAAGAGCTCTAGGACACGTTTCCTTCCAAAGACCCCACACCTTGCTTAGCTGGCTTTGGGAAAGCACCATGAGGGCTTGCAGGGAGGTTATCAAATTTTGGTCTCAGTCCCTTTGCATATGACAAGGCCCATGGGTTCTATGTTGAAGTACTCCTGCAGCCAACTTGGCTTGAAAAGTTGGGTCACCATTAAACTGTTCTCACTAATCCAACACTGCAATAACTGAAAAAAGTGTATTAATTCTGATGTTTAATTCATTAGCTGGAATATACAACTAAAAAATCCTTAATAAAAGGGGTGTTTTAGAAAAGCCTTATACAAACAAATAAGTATACCTGGTTTTAAATTGACTTCACTCAACATTCATAACCCCACTACGAAATAAAAACACATGTCCTCTGGAGCTATAACACAGTGACCAATATCTTTAAAATGGACTGTAGTTCTTCAATTTCCCTTCTGTTCCTAGTGGACATGGATTTTAAAAAGTTTGTAAAGATCAAGCAGGAGATCATGTTGGTTCAGCTATACGCTTTAAAAAAGAGGAAAGGTGCAGAAGAAAGGGAAAGCATACAGAAGATGTTATCAATACGTGAGAAGTTCAAAGAGAAAAATGAGGCTTGTTTTTTTCCAGTCAATTGTGCAATTTTTACTACACATACCTAAGAGATGAGAGGCCTTTCTATTTTTCATTTTCTATCACTAATCATGACGGAATTATTTCCATCCCAACTATAAGACAATATACAATATACAATTTGATTTACTCACCTTATGACTATACTATGACACAAGCCAACATACTTTTGACATCACTCTTCCATTAAAATGTTTGTACCTTGTTATTAAGATCCTCCGTTTAGGCTTCAAGACAAAGGCCATGCCAATGAATCATTTGCCTCTTTTCTGCATCAGTTTAGTTCTAAGGAGCTTTCCCCAGATAACCCATGGCCTCCCTTTCTGTATATCAACACAAGAGACATGCTCTTGGAAGCAAACTTTTTATTTCCCCCCTCTAATTTATATTTATTCTCATTCTAGTCTGCCCCTGCCTCTATGGAACCCTCAAGATTATTCCAAGCATTAGCTGGTCAAAAATAAAGTCTTTGGAAACAAGGTGCTTATTGAGCAGGTGGTTACACTTGGATTTTGGAATTTTCCATAATCTGATTTCCAGCTGCATTTTGTTACTGAAACAGTATTCATCATCCTGGTGTAGGCAAATAAAAGTCCTATTAATGCTTCTGGACCTCCTGGTAGTTTTTGGCAACTATCAAACATGGTATCCTGCTCAATGTGTGAGGAGTAGGGGTACTACATCTACATCAGCAATGGGGACCCTGTAACCCTCCATATGTTGTAGGATTTAAATCCTAGCAAGCATGTCCTATGGTAAGGAACATCAGGAACCGTGGTCCAACATCTGGATGGCCATATGTTCCTCCTAATCGTAATGAAAGCACTGAAAGTCATCTAGGGATTTGGGGGCCAGGCTCATCAGTGCTCTAATGACACCATATCCACTTCTTTGTTTCATCAAATTCAGATGATGCTGTGAAAATCTGAAATGGATAGTCAAACCTCGGTTGTCGAACGTAAGCCTTTTTGGTTTCTGAAATGTTCAACAACCAAGGCGCGGCTTCCAATTGGTTGCAAGAACTTCCTGAACTCACGTGGAAGCTATGTCAGATGTTTTGGGGGCGGGGGGGTTTCAAAGATAACCTACCAAGATAAATACCATGAATAGCAAAGACAAGGCTGCATGGGTGAAGCCTCTCGCCACATCACATACACACACAAAATGAAGATTAAGTCTCTCACCGTGTGTGTGTGTGTGTGTGTGTGTATCTATGGGGGTGTTTATATGTGTGTGTGTATCGTGGGGGTGGGGTGTATATACATATGTATATATTCTTATGTGTGTGTGTATACAGTGTATATATGTGTGTGTGTGTATAAATAAAGATAAAGGGACCCCTGACCATTAGGTCCAGTCGTGACCAATTCTGGGGTTGCGGTGCTCATCTTGCTTTACTGGCCAAGGGAGCCGGCGTACAGCTTCCGGGTCATGTGGCCAGCATGCCTAAGCCGCTTCTGACAAACCAGAGCAGCGCACGGAAATGCCGTTTACCTTCCCGCCGGAGCGGTACCTATTTATCTACTTGCACTTTGACGTGCTTTTGAACTGCTAGGTTGGCAGGAGCAGGGACCGAGCAACGGGAGCTCACCCCGTGGTGGGGATTCGAACCACTGACCTTCTGATTGGCAAGTCCTAGGCTCTGTGGTTTAACCCACAGCGCCACCCACATCCCTTGTGTATATAACATACACACATATATACTGTATATATACACACACTGTACCGTATTTTTTGCACCATAACACTCACTTTTTTCCTCCTAGAAAGGGGAAATGTCTGTGCGTGTTATGGAGGGAATGCCTACGGGTGGCATGCCTACGGATTTTCCTCCTCTAAAAACTACGTGCATGTTATAGTCGGGTGCGTGTTATAGAGCGAAAAATACGGTATAATTTGTATATATATACACACACACACACATATATATATATACACACATATATACATATATATACCTATTTTGTGTGCATATATATATATATATATATATATGCAGGTTTTGGTGTCCTCGGGTGTCTTCCCGTGTAAAAGTTGGGGTGTCTAGGCGACGTTTCGACGAGGTCTCACTCGTCATCTTCAGGCTGGTGCTTTCGGCTTCTTGTTACTGGAACAGAGCGGGATCTCAGTGTTTGAGTTCCTATAAATACTGTTGAGGAGGTGTGGTGTATAGCCTCCAATGTTCTGGGCAGAGAGGAAGTTCCCAGGCTAGTGTGCCTTTTCTTCTTTTGTTCCTTAATTACTTGAGGGATATCTTGAGTGATTTCTTGAGTGATATCCTGAGTACCACTTAGGTGGGTCATTAGGTGTGGATTAGTTGCTAAAGCCTTCGTGTCTTGACCTCTTGAACTTTGTGAAGAGTTTTTCTGAGAAGATGGCTGTACTGCACTTAGTTGTGCTCTGGCTTGGCTTCGTGTATAGGGGCGAGCTGTGGTTTTGTGGCCTGTGCCAGCCAGATCTGTGTAGGGATTGCAGGGGGGTGCAGCATCCGGAGGTGCCACCATGGTTTGGCTACTGGATGGTGTCTGTAATTTATCTGTGGAGAGGGTCTGGGTTTGGGTCTGGTGTGGTTGATTGGTGATGGCGTTCTGTGTGCCTCTGGCGTTCTGTTGCCATCACCAATCAACCACACCAGACCCAAACCCAGACCCTCTCCACAGATAAATTACAGACACCATCCAGTAGCCAAACCATGGTGGCACCTCCGGATGCTGCACCCCCCTGCAATCCCTACACAGATCTGGCTGGCACAGGCCACAAAACCACAGCTCGCCCCTATACACGAAGCCAAGCCAGAGCACAACTAAGTGCAGTACAGCCATCTTCTCAGAAAAACTCTTCACAAAGTTCAAGAGGTCAAGACACGAAGGCTTTAGCAACTAATCCACACCTAATGACCCACCCAAGTGGTACTCAGGATATCACTCAAGAAATCACTCAAGATATCCCTCAAGTAATTAAGGAACAAAAGAAGAAAAGGCACACTAGCCTGGGAACTTCCTCTCTGCCCAGAACATTGGAGGCTATACACCACACCCCCTCAACAGTATTTATAGGAACTCAAACACTGAGATCCCGCTCTGTTCCAGTAACAAGAAGCCGAAAGCACCAGCCTGAAGATGACGAGTGAGACCTCGTCGAAACGTCGCCTAGACACCCCAACTTTTACACGGGAAGACACCGGAGGACACCAAAACCTGCATTCCTGTACCCGTGAAAATCTACGAAAGCATATATATATATATACGTATATAGTGTGTGTGTATATATATACACACACACACACACACACAGATTGTATATTATGTGTGTGTGTGTATAGTGTGTGTACATATTTGTGTGTGTGTGTATATATATATATATGCAGGTTTTGGTGTCCTCGGGTGTCTTCCCGTGTAAAAGTTGGGGTGTCTAGGCGACGTTTCGACGAGGTCTCACTCGTCATCTTCAGGCTGGTGCTTTCGGCTTCTTGTTACTGGAACAGAGCAGGATCTCAGTGTTTGAGTTCCTATAAATACTGTTGAGGGGGTGTGGTGTATAGCCTCCAATGTTCTGGGCAGAGAGGACTTCCTCTCTGCCCAGAACATTGGAGGCTATACACCACACCCCCTCAACAGTATTTATAGGAACTCAAACACTGAGATCCTGCTCTGTTCCAGTAACAAGAAGCCGAAAGCACCAGCCTGAAGATGACGAGTGAGACCTCGTCGAAACGTCGCCTAGACACCCCAACTTTTACACGGGAAGACACCCGAGGACACCAAAAACCTGCATTCCTGTACCCGTGAAAATCTACGAAAGCATATATATATATATATATATATATATATACACACACACACACACACATACACATGCATATGTATATACATATACCCCCCCCCCATGATAAGAAGAGCGGCGTCTCTCGTTCTCTGGCCCCCCTTTCCCCCGCTCCTCCCGGGAGCGCCTCGGAGGCCCCCGGCCGCGTTGGTGCGAAATGCCGGGAGGCGTCTCCCCCCGCCAGGCAGGGAACGGAGGCCTGGGAGGAAGCGGGGCCTCGCCGGGGAGAGCGGCCCACCCACCTTGAGCGTGGGGTACTCCTGCACCTTCAGAGTCATCGAGAGCTGAGCGGCCGACTCCTGCACCGCCATCTTGGACCGAGCACCAAACGCCGCCGCCGCCGCCGCCACGGCGCCGCCTCCGCCCGCCCGCGCCGCTCCTTCTCCTCACAGAATCCTGAGGGAGCCTTCGGTACCCCCTCGCGAACTGCACCCTGGGAGAGAAAGCGCTTCCGCCTCCCCCCCCCCCCGCCGGCCTTCGGATGACAGACGAGTCCACGCCAAGGGCCCTCGCTCGCTCGCTTCCTTCCTTCCGCTCCCCCCCTTTCCCCCTCTCAAATGGTTCGTGCCATTAGCGCGACGGGCTGACGCAAGGAAGCAAGGCAGCCAATCAGAGCGCTCCTCTGACACCCGTTCTTCTCTTCTCTTGTCCGTCTCTCTGCGATGTTTTTCGCTTTCCGAGCAGGAATCTGTAAAAGCAGGTTGGGCTGGGGAGGAAGTGACGGGATGGGAGGGGCTTGACGAATCGGGGCGAGGCTTCGGGTTCGCCCTGATTGACACCTTCCGGCCGCCGCGCGCCGTCGGCCAATCCAAGCCGAGGGTGGGCGGGACTCGCTGGACGCGGAGTCTGAGGCGGCGCTTTCGAGTTCAGTTTGGCGGCTCAGCGCGAGGGAGCGAGCCAGGCGGCTGACCCGACGGTCTCCTTAGTCGAGCAGCGAGGACCGCGGGCCTGGTTTGTTTCACAGTTGTTTCTGCCGGTTGGAGCGACGGGAGTGTTTCTGAGCGTGTACAGAGTTGTTTTCTTTCTAGGCTGGGGGAGGGGAGAGTTTCTGTGTGTGTTTAATGGCCTCATAGCAAAGTTGGGTTTATTAAACTGACATACTGCTTCCTCATGTGGGACAAGAAGCTACAGTTAGAACTGGATATGGAACAACTGATTGGTTCAAAATTGGGAAAGGAGTACGACAAGGCTGTATTTTGTCTCCCTGCTTATTTAACTTATATGCAGAATTCATCATGCGAAAGGCTGGGCTGGATGAATCCCAAGATGGAATTAAGATTGCCGGAAGAAATATCAACAACCTCAAATATGCAGATGACACAACCTTGATGGCAGAAAGCGAGGAGGAATTAAAGAACCTTTTAATGAGGGTGAAAGAGGAGAGCGCAAAATATGGTCTGAAGCTCAACATCAAAAAAACGAAGATCGTGGCCACTGGTCCCATCACCTCCTGGCAAATAGAAGGGGAAGAAATGGAGGCAGTGAGAGATTCTACTTTCTTGGGCTCCATGATCACTGCAGATGGTGAGAGCAGCCACGAAATTAAAAGACGCCTGCTTCTTGGGAGAAAAGCAATGACAAACCTAGACAGCATCTTGAGAAGTAGAGACGTCACCTTGCCAACAAAGGTCCGTATAGTAAAAGCTATGGTTTTCCCAGTAGTGATGTATGGAAGTGAAAGCTGGACCATAAAGAAGGCTGATCGCCGAAGAATTGATGCTTTTGAATTATGGTGCTGGAGGAGACTCTTGAGAGTCCCATGGACTGCAAGAAGATCAAACGCATCTATTCTTAAGGAAATCAGCCCTGAGTGCTCACTGGAAGGACAGATCATGAAGCTGAGGCTCCAGTACTTTGGCCACTTCATGAGAAGAGAAGACTCCCTGGAGAAGACACTGATGCTGGGAAAGATGGAGGGCACAAGGAGAAGGGGGCGACAGAGGATGAGATGGTTGGATGGTGTTTTCGAGGTGACCAGCATGAGTTTGACCAAACTGCGGGAGGTAGTGGAGGACAGAGGTGCCTGGCGTGCTCTGGTCCATGGGGTCACGGAAGAGTCGGACACGACTAAACGACTAAACAACAACAACTGCTTCCTCATAGTGATTGGTGGGTGGGTGTAAAATGAAATCAAATGTTTCATAGCTGCCGTTTATTGACGGAGGTTTTTTAAAAAAATATTTTATTAAAACCTTGTCATAGTACAATAAGATGAAACAAATCTAAATGAAGTGAAATGAAAACACAGTGAAAGAAGAAACAGCGAAGGGAAGAAAAGGGGAAAAAGAGGAAAAATAAAAAGGACTTATGATTTTCTGTCTATTGGTTACATAAATGAAATTGTTCCAAATACTCACTCTAGGATGATACACAACAGATCTACATTCTGTTAGGCAATATTTGCCCAGTCTTCCAACCCAAATGACTCAGATTAATTCATTTTTCTTTTTACACAAAAAATCCAAAAGGGGGTTCTCTAATTATTGTTATTAATACATTTCAACAGTCGTTTTTCTGTAATCAAAATTAATTTGTATACTGCCCTATACCTGTAGTTCTCAGCATGGTTGCAACATAAAATCACAATATAAAAACACAATAGTCCACTGTGAGTGTATATTAAAATAAGATTCCACAATTCTCTTATTATTTATTCATTAATTTGAACCCAGTGCCATATCTTCAATTCGCATTTCCTGTGGTTTTCCATCCTGTTTTTTAAAATCCCTTCCATTTATGTTTCTTCCATTTCCCTTCTCCTAAAAAGTGCCAGAGGTTTGCTAGCTCTTTCCTCTGAATTCACTCCAAGTCGTGCACAGAGTCCTTTCTCACTCAACTCTATGTCTGCCAGATTAATATATCACAGGGGTCTGCAACCTTTAAGACAAAAAGAGCCACTTGGACCCGTTTCCGAAGAAAAAACAACAACTGGGAGCCGCAAAACCATTGCGACATTTAAAACAAATATATCTCCGGAGCCGCGATCTGACAGCGGGCGGGAAGGTGACGTCGGGACGGTGCATGACTAATGCACCCATGCGACGTCACAGCCAGTACAGCGCCCGCCACAGTGAGGAGTGTCGGGGCGCACAATGCGCCTCCTCCCCTCGCTAGTATCTGCCCCAGAGATGTAAAAGAGCCACATGCGGCTCCGGAGCCGCAGGTTGCAGACCCCTGGTATATCACTTCCACTCTCCATCCATGGCTTCTTTCCACCTCTGCAACACCACAACTCATTTCTCTAAGCACCTGTGTGAAGGACTTTTCCATTTCACCCACTGTTGCCTCCAACTCTACCATTTCATGTTCCTGTTCTGGCAATCCTTTTTCCATATGGAGCTTTGAAATCTTTGTGTCCTCTTTTCACCTTCATCCAGGCCTGGGAAATGGATCACAGCTTGTCTGCCTACTTGGCCAATGGCAGGTGGGCTGTGATCCCCGCCCCTGGCTTCACTCTGGTCCTCATCCGCCCCATTGGTTTACTTATGTAACATAGAGTTAAAGTCATAGTGATTACTTTATTTTCCAAGTAAACACACAAAAGGCAAGTTATAACTGATCAGTGGTCAAGTTCGCTGACAGGGCTTAGCAAGCAAGTGTTGACAAGTGAGTATGTTGTACAATGTCAGGAAGTCCAGCATGCATCAGCAGGAATATGTTGCGTGTAATGACTTGTTTATGGGACACGGGTGGCGCTGTGGGTTAAACCACACAGCCTAGGGCTTGCCGATCAGAAGGCCGGCGGTTCGAATCCCCACCACGGGGTGAGCTCCCGTTGCTCGGTCCCTGCTTCAGCCAACCTAGCAGTTCGAAAGCACGAAGTGCAAGTAGATAAATAGGTACCGCTCCGGCGGGAAGGTAAACGGCGTTTCTGTGCGCTGTTCTGGTTCAGCAGAAGGGGCTTAGTCATGCTGGCCACTTGACCAGGAAGCTGTATGCCGGCTCCCTCGGCCCATAGAGCAAGATGAGCGCCGCAACCCCAGAGTCGGTCACGACTGGACCTAATGGTCAGGGGTCCCTTTACCTTTAATGACTTGTTTACAATCTAATACTATAAATAGGCAACACACATGACATCTAATTTAGATTGTTTCTGAATTGTGTGACAAGCAGTTAATAGTAGTGCAAGTGCAATAAATTTTAAAAAATTAATTCATATTTGATACCTTCTATCTTTACGGATTACAGATCACAGACAAATTGTATTATTGTTGTTTCAATAAAATAGCAATTTACGCTTGAGTATTTTTATACATTTTCTTATACATCTACCATATCCTTCCCCCAAGACACATCCTATGGAAAGCTCTGCAAAACAAAATCTGTTACAATGTGGTCCCATCTCATGTGACGGTTCTGCCCCAGAAGCAGTAGTACGTATTTGCAAAACCACACATAGCCAAAAACTGCTGGCTCTCGAGGGAACCACGACACAGAGGCCCTCCCCGTGTCTCCACTTCCCTCACTCCTGCATGCACAGTAGCAGCATTGAGAGGACCATAGCAGATTGATTTTCCTCTTTTCTGAGTTGCCACAGCAAGGAGAAGAGAGCAGGGAGTGGCAACCAGCCTCCTACAGCTGCGAGATGAGCAGGGAAGCAGCGCAAGGCAGACAGAGGGAAAAGAAACCTGGCTCCCTTGGCTGTAGTAGGGAGGAAAGCGAGCAGAAGCTACAGCTCCACTGCAGATCCATGGTGTCAAGCTCAATGCCAAGAAAAGAAAAGCAAGTTATGGGGCCTCAAACACCCAGATAACTACCGTATTTTTCGCCCTATAGGATGCACTTTTCCCCCTCCAAAAAGGAAGGGGAAATGTGTGTGCGTCCTATGAGGCGAATGCAGGCTTCAGGAAACTCTGCGCAAGCCGCGGGAGCCCTCCCCCGGCTTGCGCAGAGCCGCCTCTTATCCCAAAGCCCCGGAGCGCTCAGCAGTCGCGTCGGGGCTTCGGGTAGCTCCGCGCAAGCCGCGGGAGGGCTTCTGCAGCTTGCACAGAGCAGCCTGTTCTGGGGGCTGGGGTCGGGGGAAGCGCCTGGGGTGGGGGGGATAAAATTTTCTTTTTTTATTATTTTTTTTAAAATAATTTTTATTAATTTTCCAAACATGTAATAAAAACAAACAATAAAACAAAACAACACATACAAACAAATAAACATGTATAATTTCTTAAACTTATTTTCCTTCACCTTACTTCCCGGACTTCCCCATACCTCCCTTTTTCTGCATCCTTATATTTACCTTTTCTCAGCAACCCTTTATTTAATTAATGACTTATTTTCGTTATAATTTCCTTAGACTTATGATTTACAGCTGCAATTCTCTGTTTCTTAACACCATAACATCTCAGCACTCCTCAATTTTACAACAGTTTTTGAGATATATTTTAAATTTCTTCCAATCTTCTTCCACTGTCTCACTCCCCTGGTCACGGATTCTGCCGGTGGGGGGATAAAATTTTCT